TCTGTGCCTGTAGGTCTGTGTATGTGTGTGTCTGTACGTGTGTGTGTGTGTGTCTGTACGTGTGTGTGTGTGTGTGTGTGTGTGTCTGTACGTGTGTATACGTGTATGTGTCTGTATGTGTGTGTGTGTGTCTCTACGTGTGTGTGTGTGTGTGTGTGTCTGTACGTGTGTGTGTGTGTGTGTGTGTGTGTGTGTGTGTGTGTGTGTGTGTGTGTGTGTGTGTCTGTACGTGTGTGTGTGTGTGTCTGTACATGTGTATGTGTCTGTATGTGTGTGTGTGTCTGTGTGTGTCTGTACGTGTGTGTGTGTCTGTGTGTGTGTGTGTCTGTACGTGTGTGTGTGTGTGTGTGTACATGTGTATGTGTGTGTGTGTGTGTGTGCGTGTGTGTGAGAGAGTGTGTGTGTGTCTGGTATGTGTGTGTGTGTGCTTGTGCCTGTATGTGTGTGTGTGTATGTGTGTATGTATTGTGTGTGTGTGTGTCTGTATGTATTGTGTGTCCGTGTGTGTGTGTGTACAGTGTTGTGTTGTGTGTTTGTGTCTGTATGTATGTGTGTGTGTGCGTGTGTTCTAATGCATGTGTGTTTATGTGATGTGTTGTGCCTTTCCCCAGGGCACTTGTAACAGGAGCCTACTAAGTACTAATGTCACCACCAGCTGTAGGGACTTAAACAGAACCTCCGGATTTTGAGTCTTGTATATATGTAATTTTTACCAAAGGGGTGAAGTTTGCCATTTCTGATTGCCTTGTATTTTTGTATTTATTTCAGAGACCGTATATCGCTAATACACACCTTACATCATGTGGGTCTCATCATCTTTCGGGGACGCCGACATTGATGTGAAACCAGCCAAGAGAACTGCCAGCCTGAAGTCAGAAAATAGGTCCTTTTCAGGCGGTACAGGACGTCAACACAAAGTAGTAGGGAGAGAGCAGTATGAGGGAGATTTGTGGGTGGACGTCCACCGGCCGACCTCCGTGGCTGACCTGGCCGTCCATCCGAAAAAAGTGGCTCAAGTCGTGGAGTGGTTGAAGAGTCATGTGATGTTGGGTCGGGTTAAGGACACACCAATACTACTTCTCACAGGTCAGTAGAGCTTCTTTTTCTTAAAGGGGCATTATGTTATATAATTACTAGTACATTTTGGCACCAAAAATTAAAATTTCTAATTGAAAAAAAATGTTTGCGCGATTTTGATTTACTTCCACATTTTAACATATTTGTGCAGTTATCTCATGTTCCTGACATTTCTGGTAAGTGCCAAAACAGCCCACACGAGGCGCACGCATTTTGTGGTGCCACCACAAAATACCAGATTCTAAGCAAACATAACAGACAGCTACTAGTAAACAGGTTTCCAGTTTTTAAAGCCACTTCCTGAATGGCACTTATTTGCAATGGAGTCCCTATTTTAACTTGAATCCAACTGTTTTGTAAAGAAAGGCCAGAAAATCTACATTTTTATCGTCCTAATGTTACATAAAGTACTGCAGCTTTAAGACTTAGGGGTAGGCTAGGGTAGGGAGGGGAGGTGGGGAAATGAATACCTACATGTAGTGTTCTAAAGAACGTACTGCACCTGCACAAAACCTCAGTACTTATCTATAGAACTTCAGCAGAAGGTCTCATTTGAGCATAAGGTTAACATCACGTCTGTAGGTTCCAAATACATGTACTAGACTATTCTGTCGAAGATATCCTCTGCAACAGGCAAAATTCTGATGCAACGTTGACCAAACATTCAACGGAAACCGTGAAAAATCAGCTTTTTGCGCAGGCGCACTACACTCTGCCAACATGCTAGTATTCTAGTTTTATCACCACTTAACTGTTATCAGTCATATTCACTCCTATCATGTCCATAGTATCACAGTGTTCGAAATACCTGTCTGCAGTCTGCAATCTGCAGATAGATTTTCAAGATTGCAGAAGAAAAATTTATACAATCTGCAATTTTGCAGCAGGAAAAATTGACACTTGGGATTTGGTGCTCTTGGCCCCAAGGACATACAACACTTAAGCTCCTATTCTGAAACAACAGGAACTTCTTCACTAATTTGCATTAACCTTGTCTTGACTTGTCTATCTTTTGTTTCTTTTTGGACTTCCAAAAATTTGTCTTCACTAATTTGCATATCAATCAATAGTTCATGCTTATAAACCTGCAAGATTGTAGTATAGAGGCTTGTGTATTTGCAGAAAGTATTTCCAAATTGCAGAACAAGATTTTGACTCTTCTGCAATATTGCAGATCACTGAAAAAAAGTATTTCGACCACAGTGGTATCATATCGTGACTAGAACTGTGCTTCCTTCTATACTGCAGGTCCGCCCGGTGCAGGGAAAACGGCTACTGTGAAGCTGTTATCAGAACAGGAGGGTGTGGAGGTGCAGGAGTGGGTCAACCCTGTTACAGAGGTGCACCAGCTGTCTTCTGACGACCCCACAACCTCCCGCGGCTCTCGCCAGCCGCCCCAGGCCGCCGTGTTCAAGGACTTCCTGTTACGGGCTAGCCAGTTCACCAGCCTGTGTCTGACAGGTGGGAGATTCGGTGTTCTAGCCAGGCCTTTTTAGCATAGATCCTATGATTTTGACCCCTAAATGCTATAATTTTTTACCCCTATGCTGTCTTTCAAGCAGCAATTAGGGCCGTGTTTTGGGAGGGAGAACCTCCATAAATCTTGCAAAAAAATGAAAATATAGCTTTAGAATGAAGCTATAGCAAAGGGAAAACCTTAACTGTACAAAATCTGTCTCTCAATACCGGTAAGTGAGAAATAGTGTCTCAGGGGGTCATGAGTTTCAAAATATTTTTTCTCAATGCGCGATTTGTGCCACAAAAGCTCTTCTGTACCTGACCCCTACGCTATCCTGGTGAAAACCCTGAGATTTGTATGACTACTAGTACTGTAAATCACTTAATGTTCACATCGGTGAATAGTTTCATCAGGTTGGTCACTGAGTAAAGAGACTCTTTCTACGGGTTTTATTCAGCCGACGTTTCGGTGACCATCTGTCACTTTCCTCAGGGCAATTCTGACTGGTTCACATTGCACTACAGCACAGGTGTTGCTGCTATAAATGCCTTCCCAAATGTACAATATTTACATATCTACACATGATTAAAGGAAACTATATCTAGGGGTCCCAAACATACAGGAGTTGGATTAAATATACAAAACTAGTCAGTTCTTAAACAAAAGCAGTTACAGAGAACAGGGAATGCATCTATAGCAGTGACACCTGTGCTGCAGTGCAATGTGAACCAGTCAGAATTGCCCTGAGGAAGGTGACAGACAGTCACTGAAACGTCGGCTGAATAAAAGACTTGGTTGTGTAGAAAGAGTCTCTTTCATTTTATGTTCATGGTAGCAAAAGTTTGCCGTCTGAGAATAATGGATGGAACTACAAACACATACTAGTGTACGTTCGTGGTGGTGGCAGGTGCAGCAAAAAGAAAATCTGTGAATTATTTGTTCACGATAATGATAAGTTGCTGGTAAATTTTAATTTGTGATTTTTGACTGCAAAAATCACAAATAAGTTGCTGGTAAATTTTAATTTGTGATTTTTGACTGCAAAAATCACAAATATTGAAGTACCAAGAAAAAATTGTGATTTACAGTGTAAATGAATGAATGACTTTGACCTTTTTGTTCATTTTGCCACTTTCGAAAATTTGAATACTAGTACTACAGTACTATAATATAATTGTTTTAATCATTGGAATTGATGTTATTACAATTTCTTGTTTAGACTCAAATTAGAGACCCCAAGTTTTGACACATTTTGCATCAAAATCAAAATGTGTTCTCGGGTGGGTATAACATGAATGAAATGCAACACAACTTGTGTTTATTTTTGTAATTTTACTTATATGCTGTGAGGAATTGGCTTTGTCATTACAAATAAAAATGTTCACAGTTTAAAATGTGTGTACTTTAATCAGGAAGTCACAGTAAACCCTCTGTTTGTTCATCTGCCCCTTTGTTCTTTGATTCCTCTGTTTATGTACAGGAGCGCCGAAGTCAGACCGGAAGCTTGTTCTAGTAGAGGACTTCCCCAACGTGTTCTACAGAGAGAAGACACAGTTCCACGACGTGTTGAGACACGTGCGGGAGGCGGGGTGTTTCCCGCTGGTGTTCATCGTGAGCGAGACATCCGGGAAGGACAGCAGGGTGCGAGATCTGTTCCCCTCCGACTTACAACTCCAGCTCAACATCCACGTCATCAGCTTCAACGCCGTGGCTGCCACCAACATGCAGAAGGCCTTGTCTTGTGTACTTAACAAAGAAGCTGCTAGGAGGAGCTTCTTCAAGAGGCCGGACAAAGACAGGATACAGGAGGTAGTGCAGGCCAGCGCCGGCGACATACGCAGCGCTGTCAACTTGTTACAGTTTTCCAGCCTCAAAGTACCCGTCGATAGAACTTCAAAAGTCTTCAAGAAAACTAAATCTAGCAAAGGGAACACATCAAAGAGCACAAGAAGTAATCTTAAGGCAGGAAAGGAGAAGGCAAGTGTAGAGCAAAGTGGAGGAAAGGACATTTCGTTATTCCTGTTCCGTGCTCTAGGGAAGATCTTGTACTGTAAGCGTTCAGAAGAAGAAGAGAGAGATCTTCCCCCCCTCCCCCCGCATCTCTCCCACCACAAACGCCTGCCTGTGCTCGCAGACCCGGAGACGGTGGTCCACGCCTGTCCGCTGAGCGCAGAAGCCTTGTGCCTGTTCTTACAGCAGAACTTCACAGAGTTCCTGTCCGAAGTCTCCGAGTGTGAGACAGCGACGCGATACCTCAGCGATGCAGACGTGATGTCGTCGGAATGGGCGGCACGAGACGTATTAAGCCACTATGGCGTGTCGGTAGCCACGCGAGGTCTCATGCACGCCAAAACTGCGGTCAGTAAGGGCGGCTGGAGGCCGTTGTACAAACCTGAGTGGTACTCCGTGCAGCAGAAGTGCCTGAGTAACCACAGGACTGCTGCGGGGACATGTGTGGACCAGTGTCTGCCAGCCGTGGAGTTATTCACACAGAAACTGCCCTTCCTCGGCCTGATCCATCCATCCTGGAACAGCAAACTCGGCTTCTTGTCAAGCCAGCGCTTCACTAACGCCAGGCCGCAGAAGTTGGAGGAGACAGAGGCTGTTTTTGATGAAGAGGATGAAGGGGAGACTCAGGCCTTGCCATCCCTCCCTCAGCAACAATGTACTGTCCCCAGGGAGATAGATGATGAGGTAGTTATTGAAGATTATGACAGTGACTGGTAATTGGTCATTCTAAAGAGATGATACAAAACTTCCTGTTGAATGGCATTAGTTTCTTCCACACTGCTGAGGCCTAGAAAAAAATGTTGTGTTTCCTGTATCAGTCCTAAAAAAAAGTAGGGCCGGATTATCTTTTTTTCAGACTTTGGTGATCTCTAGTGATCTTACTCAGAATACAGTTTAACAAAGTAAAACTTGCTTGAAGACACTTATATTTTCAATGCCCATGTTGGAAAACTGATTGTACAACGTTTCATCACTTTGGTGTTAGATCATGGAGCTAGAAAAGGGTCGATCAGCTTGAAAAATTTCTATCCCTTGCAGGGTTCCACACATAAACAGGCTAGGGTCGTCAGTTTTTTTTAGGGTCGGTTGGGAAACTGAAAGCACAACATTTTCTTTCCTAGGCCCGAAGTAGAACATGTGCTCCAGTGTTCTAGCCAGGGTCTATCTTTCCATCACTTGATGTAAATTTCCGGATCAAGATGGACAAAAAGTCTGTCATTTTTGACAGACAAAAAGCAGTGTGTAAAGATATGGAGAGAGTCAAACTTACAAGTAGGCTCAGTCTACCAATAAAATTTGCCCCTCATACTGCAAAATTTTCCAGGGGGAGCACACCCTGAGTGCAGAATATTCAACGATATATCGATGCTATCACCAGACCCCCTAGGATTGTCATACCTTCAGTAGTGTTGTTATAATAGTAATGATAAGGCCACACCAATTTAATTTGTTGCTTCTCGGATCGCACTGTCTAGTTTTTTTCTGATTTGTAAAAAAAATTTTTTTTTGTTCTAACTTAACTGCAAAATCCTCAATGAAAGACATATTTTGACCCCAACGGTTGAAGAAAGTCATTTTCTTCCTAGTTCTTAAAGTTTTTCAATGTAACAATGCAATTTTGTTTCATTAAAAGTTCAAAATCTATTGTTTTAACTATAAACCAGCCTGGTATGTTCACTTCATGGCTCATATTGTAACATTTCCGGCTATCATGGGGTGGCTTGGCCTGTTGTTTTTTTTTAAGTCCTTTCGCTTCCTATTTTTCAAAAAAAATCCAAGAAACAACAAATTAAATTGGTGTGGCCTAATAGTCTAATGTAGAGTCCTATTTTGGCATGGAAACTGCTGTAACAATGTGGGCATGGAAAGCAGACCAGTGTTCGGTGTAGGGTTGGTAGCCCTCTCTGCACCATATGTAGCTTCTCTTTCCTGCTTGGCAGCAGTATATTAGGCCACACCGACTTCATTTTATGGATGACATCCTCTGAAGACCCCCAAACTAGTGCGCGCGGGCGAAAAAAGAAAAATCCGGCCAAAAATAAAAATGCTTCTAACCACAGGAATACAAAGCCGGTACTGTGAATTTAGCGCATTACATAGCGATGTATACGACAAGCCGGCACATGCTGGCTTTTTGCGGAATTTATGAATCGACACTGTACGTATGTACTGAGTTCTTGAGTCGTGGAGCTAATTTGGTAGCCTGGGTGCCATCCTCCAGAGTTACCACCGGCTTCATTGTCGCTGACCACCATCATCGGGACTACCCAGGCCTTAAGCCAGGCCAGAGCCTCGGAAGATGTGATCTTTTTTTTTTTTTGAGATCAGGCGGAAATCAATGCTCGCGCGGATGTCATCCATAAAATTAAGTCGCTGTGGCCTTACAGAAATTTGAATACACACACACATGAAAGATATCCTGTTGTAGCTCTGTGATGAAATTTCAACTCTGCAGAATACATAAGACAGTGTTCATCGTATTATTCTACATTTTGTCGTTACAATTTGAGATGTGACTGAAACAAAATGAAGAATAAAAATTGAGTGTGATGACTTATAATCCTGTTGACTGTTGTCAAGTGTGAGTATATAGTAGAGGGGATTCATTCCTCAAGCTAACCATGCCTGTAGCCAGGATTTTGAATGGGGGGTTCTTCCCACTGCTTGAGGGGACCTCGAGCGCCGAAGGCGTGAGCCGAGCGCTGTAGGCGCAAGGAAATTTTTTTAAAATGAACCTTCTAAAATGGCATTTCGTGCATTTTTGAGAGGATTTCCAAGAAAAAATCAAAGATAAATTTTTATTCAATGACAAAGGGAGCAGTTTTTCTATGATTCCAGTCCATCTTTTCAAGAAAAATCTAAGACCTTTACATAAAAAGTGGACCTTTACATACAAAGAGGACCTTTACATAAAAAGTGGACGAAAAAGTGGACCTTTGAGCCTTGTGGGGGGGGGGGTTCTTCCGAACCCCCTGGCTACGGGCATGCTAACCGACATCTCACACACGTAGTCATCCCTCAGTAAGACATCTGGAGCTGCATAGTTCCTGTTTAGAACTGTTATTCAGCCTGTCACACGACCGGTTCGCCTGTGTGGCTTCTTCAAGTGTACAGAGGCTAATGACACAAGTGTGAGTGTACTTACTGGCATATATGACTTGTGTATTGCATCAAGGAGGTTACCGGTATAGGGGGACCTTCTACCCTTCTACCTTTATAATATTGCACTAATTCAAGTACATGTAAGGCTATGCCAATTAATTAGATAGACAACACTTTCTGATTATTCTGTCCAAATGAGATTGTAGATGAACATCACATTATAATACAATATTCACGATATATATAATTCCACAGCAAATAAATTTTGTGGATGACATCCTTCGCAGACTACAAAAATAGTCAAAGTTAAGTATAACTTCGGAAATGTCGGAAGTCAATAATCTTATAGGACATGAGAGTAAATATGGCACATATATACGCCATCGTCTATGGAGAAATTGCCTAATGAGTCAAAGCGCCATCTAGCTGGTAAGGACCGAACTCCAACTGATTTTTGTTGTCAATCCCCAGTTACCAAGATTGCACATTGCTGAATGAATGAAAGACCTTTGAAATTGGTTTTAACGACAACGCATTGTTTTAAAAGCCATATACGCGCGCGTCATGCGAGTGTTGCTAAACAAATATTAATAGTACAGTCCCACATAATATGTAGCAGTGTATTATGTATGAAGCTATGTATGGACTAAATGTGTTGTAGAACGTAAGGATATATACCAAGTGATTTGTTAATCCTGATTTCTGAATTATAAACCTTTATAGGGCCCTGTCACACATACAAATATCTACATGCGCACGTGTTACGATTAGCGGGCTAGTCCCCTGCAGTAGTGTGGCCTATGGGCTATACAGAAATGGAGATGGGCACAACCCTTATGTTCTGCAAAGAGTGGAACGGGACCTTTTTTTTGTGGATGTCACAGCTATCGATATCACTACATACACATCAAAACAAATCACTATAGAAACACACTTTAAAAATGGCACATATTGCTTTCTCTGCTTGGCACTCAGCATCTATGAGAAAGAGTATGGGAAGGTCGAGCACACAGCACTAGCCCCCTGATGTAGTGCTTGCTCAGCTGTGTGGCGCAAGGGCTACAGAAATACAGATGGGCATCGCCCCTATGCTCCGCATGAAGTGTAACGGGACCTTTTTGTGGATGTCACAAACTGTATGTGTGCCACAGCTATCGACATCACTACACTGTGCATCACACACGTACCAAAACATATTACAACAGAAATCCAACTTATATATTATATATAATTACAACACAAAATCGACGAAGGTATGAGATCAATGACCTCTAGTTCTTGGTTTCTGCCGAGTGCTGCTACATTCACTGGGAATATTCATGTGACGATATTACATTATCATATCTGTAATTGGCGTTGACATTGAGACATTGTAGCGGCAGCAAGCCTTTCTCACGGTGCCACATGCAGCGCCTTGTCTCCCGTGGTTAACAGGTGGATTGTACACGTGGAGATGACAACAACAGGTGCTCCTACTGTGCGCGTGGCCTGTATAAGCTCTGTAGAAACGGTTCGTAAGGCTTAGGGAAATTAATGTTGTGTTTTGTTAAGCCACAGCAAGTCAATTTTATGTATGACATGACGCATTCATGTTCGTCTGATAAAAAAAAAAGAAATTTTTTGCCCTCTGACAGTGGTCAACCAATCGGCAGCGAAAATTTTGCGTAATTCATACCCCCCCCCATGCAGGCCCTCAAGTTAGTGCGCTAACGCTAGTTATAATTAGTTATATTTAGAAGGGATATCTTTTTGTGTAATGATTGTATCAGCCAACTTTTCGTGGAATTTGAACGTTCTGTTGCTGATACTGAGATGTCTCTGATTTTGCAGGCAGTCGTTGCTATTCGTAAACGCCAAAAAGCAGTTACTCAAGTTCCGAGTT